ACAAGGATGCTGTTTATCACCAATGTTGTTCAACTTTTACAGCGAATGCCTTACCAAGGAAGCTCTGGATGGGCTCGGTGACTTCAAAGTAGGAGGGCAAATTATTCAAACTGTGAAATATGCAGATGACCTTGTGTTAATGGCTAAGGAAGAAACTGTGCTACAGGGCATGATTGATAGACTAATTGAAATTGGAAGGTGCTATGGCATGGAAATGAATGTGGAGAAAACAAAAGTAATGAAAATTTCGAGACAACCAACCCCAGTCACAATAAAGATAGACCAAAAACAACTGGAGAGAGTGAAATGTTTTAAATATTTGGGTAGCCTGCTAACAGATGATGGAAGGTGTACTTGTGAAATTAAATCCAGGATTGCCATGGCAAAAGCTGCATTTAGCAAGAAGAAGAATCTTTTTACCAGCAAATTGGACTTAAATTTGAGGAAGAAACTAGTGAAATGCTACATTTGGAGCATAGCTCTGTATGGGGCTGAAACATGGACACTTAGGGCAGTAGATCAGAAACATCTGGAAAGTTATGAAATGTGGTGTTGGAGAAGGATGGAGAAGATCAGTTGGACCGATTATGTGAGAAATGAAGGGTGTTAATTAGAGTCAGTGAGCAGAGGAATATACTACACGAAATAAGAAAACGGAATGCTAATTGGATTGGTCATGTTTTACGCAGAAACTGCCTTCTAAAAGAAGTTATTGAAGGAAAGATAGAGGGGCGGATAGGAGTGACAAGAAGACGAGGAAGAAGACGTAAGAAGATGCTAGATGACCACCTTGGGGACAGAAGAGGATACTGTCATTTGAAGGAGAAAGCTCTAGATCGCATTAAGTGGAGGAATTGTTTTGGAAGAGACTGTGGACCTGTCATCTGACAGATTACTGATGATGATGATCTGCTCAATGTATATACAGGCTTCAACCTCCGCATCATGTAACTGAATCTCACCTTTGTGTACATATCTTGCATTTCAACTGGCTTTTAATTTCATCATCTTCCAAACAATGTTTCATTGTCATTGTATGATAAAATGAAATTACAATATTCAAATTCATTGTGAACTCACAGAAAACTGCATGCACTCTGTATCTCAGCTGTGATGCAAGAATTTGTTTGCAACCATTGAAAGGGCAATTTTCTCTTACAGCTGCAATGGCAGGGCTTGGCACTGAATTAAGAAAAAATGACTATACCCTGTAGCCTTTCTTGAAAGGTCCTGTTTTCACTTTTCTGTCCTTTAGTCAAAAGACTGGGATATCTGAAGGGTGTAACAAAGACTTGAAACTTGTCAGCAGAGATCCAAATGATTTTATTGCTGCCAGAGAATGGGAAAATATTTCAAGTTACAAGCAGGAGTGTTTTTATAATGCAGAACTACTATGTGAAGAAGTGGGAAACTATTTTTACAGTACGCGTTATAATTACAAGAAAAACAAACTAAAAGTAGTTTATAACATCTTGTCTACATATTTTCAAATCTCACGTTATAATATGTGATAGTGTGTTCTTTGCTGATAAAGTAAGTAAAGTAAAGCTATCCCTGTACCAGGCTGTGAAGGCCCATAGGGTTGTGAGATGCTGAGGGTCCCACATTACATAGATAATCGGCTCAAAGTTGGCGGTAAGGTTGTCAGCCTTATGTGCCGGCCGCACTTTATTCCCCAGGAAAATTATTTAATTAATTCCTGGTACTCATTTCTGTTAGAGGCTGTGTAAACCCTAGGGCTTTGTGTGGCTGGAAGGATTAGGTCAACTGGAAAAAATCCAATGACCTCAATGGGACTTGAACCCGCGACCTTCCGGCTTGTAGCATAGCCCCTCAACCAACTACGCTACTGCATGCCCCCTCTTTGCTGATAAAAACAAAGTTAATTCCATTCATTTATCATAAAAGTTGTATTAGATATAGCATTTTTAAGTACAATACAAGCGCCCTAACAGGAATTGGCATTTAAACACCCACCAGCAGCGGGCATTTAAATAAACTCTGGCCAGCTCAAGCTACCACTATTTCAGAAGTCTGGCATTAGAGGTTATATTGATATGTCTAATATAAAAAAATTTGTGAAATACAACTTTGTCTATAACTTTCAATTATGTATAATAAAATATGGCACCAAGGTTTAAATAATAATACAAGTACAGCAATATTTTTTTTCCTTTGGAGTGTTTACCATGGGGATATGAATAATAATTAAGCATTCTCATTGTCATTAGCATTTACTGAACTGAAGAATTAAAAATGTCCGTAAATTTTCATAATCTCTCATTTGCTTGCTCCCCACCACCCACAGATATAACAGTAAATTTTTACTTGCTTCAGTCTTCATTCTGACTACTGAATTCCTATTATCTCAGACCTGACAAGACCCTGAACCTCTGTGATTAGCTTTATGGCAATACTGATTAGAGGGAAAAGTATTTAATAAATTCTCATCATATTGAAGCTGCATGGTACAGTATTTTGCCCACACACTTCAACTTGCAATAACTGACACCAAGAAAGAACTAACATGAATCAACTACATGCAAAGGACCAAACAAACAGTCAGACATTACTGACACTGCACTGTCACTTGTGTCAGGCTTTGAAACCTTCAGCATCAGCTGATATAAATTTCTGCAAATGGTAGAAACAGCTGATTCCAACAACTCACCAAGGTGTCTCACCAATCATGGACATCACAGTAGTGCTGCTTGGTTCTGGGATGACAGGTGGTTCAAACAAAGGGACTTCAGTTTCTCCATATAGCATTTCATCTTCATCATCAACCTCCCTAATGAAAAACAATGAAACACACTCCTTACTCCTTACTTAATGGGTTTCCCCTTTCTATTAGAACCCAATGATTTAAAACAGCAACACATAGATTCTTTCTCCTTGGCCATATAATTTAAAACCTTATTTTCCCATCATTAATTCTGATGCTAAAGCCTTCTTGCATAACCACTGTATGTAGAAAAGAAGAAAACAAAGAAGGAATATGAGCAGTAGTGATTAAATGGGAATCTCAGAGACGTGGAAAAAAGAAATAATCTTAAACGTAAAGATGAAGTAGTTCCTGTGCTTAAGCACTCTCACATGGGAGTGGAGGTCAAGTTTCAAGCATTCTTAACTTCAGCACTGCAAAGAGGTGAGTGGTTGACTTTATGCTCCAGTCAGAGGCAAAGCTCTATGGAAAAAGGTGATGGTACCTACTGGATAGAAGACTGTGTGCATTCAGCACTGGTCTGGATGCAGTGGCAGGGAGAAAAGAATCCTTGCTCCTACCTGAAACAGAACCTCAATCATTCAACCCATAGTAAGCCACTTTAACCAAGAGAAGTTATGCTAGGAAACAATGTACACATTGCAGCTAGTTAATATTACTATGGGAAAATAAGTATGGAAGTAAGTGTATCAAACAGGGGAAAATCTTGTGTCAACTGAACATAATTCCTTTAAACATCTTAGTAGACATGACTGCCTTGCCCAATAGATACACAGTATTGGAATTCTTAATTCATCAAACTGTGGCTGTGCAACATGGGCAAGGAAATGGGTGAAAATCTCTTTCTAAAGTGTAAGCTCTTAGCAATAATAATGAGGTTCTAGGCGTTGTCCTACAGTTTACATATTGTAATCAGATATCACTACACTGAAAGACAATTAAAACTAGAAATAGCAGTAATGTATATAAATAACAATAACAATAAAAGTGATGAACAATACAAACAACTTGAGATGAACTGCGTGAGAGAGATATAATCTTTAAAGAAAATAACACTATACTCTACTGTTGTTTTCCACCTACCATGGAAAATATTAGTATGTGAAGGACAATGTTCTTACTTACCTCCTTAAGCTCTCTTCTGACTTAATATCCTTTTTGGATTTGAGCTCAACTTCATCTTCAGGGAGGCTGGTGGAGAACAGTCCACTCACATCCCGGTAAGCACACAATGTGATGATGTATGGTCTCTAGGGGCAACATCATACAATGGTGATACCACTCAACAGGAAACCTTGAACTCTATTACAAGTATCAGGGGGCATGCAGTAGCATAGTGGGTTGAGGCACTATGCTACAAGCTAGAAAGTCATAGATTCAATTCCTGATGAGGTTACTGGATTCTTCAATTGACCTAATCCTTCCAGCCACACTGTGGCCCTGGGGTTGACTCAACGTCTAACAAAAATGAGTACCACACGAATCTTCCTTGTAGGTAAAAGGCAGCCAGTGCATAAGGTTGACAACCTCACCACCATGTGACCCAACTGTCTGGAAAATGTTGAAACTTTGACATCTCACAACCCTACAGGACTCCACGGCCTGTTCCAGGGATAGCTTTACCTTTTCTTTTTATAAGTACATGGTGTATCCAAAATTTCCCAAAATATATTAATAAAAACTATTACGTCTTACCTGGATCTTATCCTGCACCATCATCTTCAAAGTAGTCCCCTTGGGAGTGCATACACTGATCCCAGCGTTTCTGCCACTTTTGAAATGCATCCTGGAAGTCTTACTTTGTTAGGGTGTTTAGTACCGTCTGCGTTTCTGCTTGAATTTCCTCAACTGTCTAAATCTTCGACCCTTCAACTTGATTTTCATCTTGGAGAAGAGAAAGAAGTCGCATGGAGCTAAGTCTGGCGAGTACGGTTGGTGGGGAACAACTGCAATCTTGTTTTTAGCCAAAAATTCCTGCACAATGTAAGCCGTATGCAGTTGTGCGTTGTCATGGTGGAGTACCAAGTTGTTCGTGCGCCACTTCTCTGGACGTTTTCTCCTCATGTCCTCCCTCAAACGCCTTAGAACATCGCGATAGATTGACTATCTCTCCAGGAGGGATGAACTCCTTATGATCAATCCCGTCAATATAAAAAAGAAAAACAGATCAACATGGACTTAATGTTGCTCTTGACTTGTGGAGCTGTTTTTGGCCGAGGTGAAGAAGGGCTCTTCCATTGCAACGATTGCTGCTTACTTTCAGGGTCATAGCCATAAACCCAACTTTTGTCACCAGTGACAACCTTCGAAAGAAAGTTTGGTTCCACTTGAAGCTGTTGTTGAAATTCCCTGCAGATTTCAAAGCAATGTTGCGTCTGTTCATTTTGCAGCAGTTGTGGCACAAACTTTGCCGCAATCCTCCTCATGTTCAGTTCCTCTGACAAAATTCGTTGACATAACTTAGTCCCAAGGTGTTACAGAGGTCTTGGATGGTCAGTCTACAATCTTGCAGTATCAGATCCCTAACTCTCGTGACATTTTCTGGTGTGGTGCCAGTTGATGGCCATCCCGAACGATCGTCATTATCAGTCAATGTTCGGCCATTTTGAAACACTTATACCAGTCGTAGGGGCACGCAGTAGTGTAGTTGGTTGAGGCACTATGCTACAAGATGGAAGGTCGCTGGTTCAAATCCCAATGAGGTCACTGGATTTCTTTCAATTGACCTAATCCTTCTGGCCGCACTATGGCCCTGGGGTCGACTCAGCCTCTAACAAGAATGAGTACCAGGAATTAAGTAAATAATTTTCCTGGGGAGTAAAGTGCGGCCAGCTCGTAAGGCTGACAACCTTACTGCCATCTGTGAGCTGATTTTCTAGATAATGTGGACCCTCAGCGTCTCACAGCCCTATGGGCCTTCACGGCCTGTTACAGGGATAGCTTTGCTTATACCAGTCATAAATTTGTGTCTGGCCTAAACTGTTGTCACCAAAAACTTCCTTCAACATTTGGTGCATTTCTGCAGCGGTTTTCCCAAGTTTAAAACAAAACTTTATACAGACATCGCAAAACCGCAAACTCACGGAAACACAATGGAAATACATTCACCAGCCATAAACCCAACCACTCAACTCGACGCCACTTGCCACACTGATTCAAGAAGGGTGTGTGGGGAGACACCTAGTGGTATTTTGATGTACCCATAACCATTTGAGAGCAAAATTCAAATTTCAGGAACTTTTTGATAGCACCATGTATTAGGGGCAAAAGGCTGTAAACATAGGCAAATTTGGTGAGAATGGAGAGAGTACAGATCTCTTATTACGAACAGTAGTAACTGATCTCAGAATACATCTGCTTGGGTTTCATGCTGAACACATCTTACTAAGCAATAAGGTATGTTCATTAAGTAACATCTGAGGGTGGGTTACATCTGTACTTAATATATTGTGACATGTCTAGAGTAACCACGAAGACAGACTCTTAATAAACAGTCGGTTGCTAAGTTACACAACAGTAAGGAAACGGTGTTTCTCTGAGCTGAGCTGAGCCGAAGCACGCTGGTTGCTATGCAGCAATAAACAACTCTCGGCAGCATTGCCTAGCAATGCCTGTAAAGACAGCAATTACGCAACAGGGAAGTGAAGTGCGTTTTCCGCTGTCCGGCTGAAGGTTTATAAGAGAACTAGAATTACCAGAGTAAAACCAGTCAGTTGCATTCTAGCATTCGCCAGAGTGAGTTGAAGTCCACTGTTGTATCGAGTGAATGAAAATGACTACAGGAGAAGTATTTGTGAAACTGAGATGGCAGTAACTGTGAAACTGTGAATCGTATAAGTGTACGAGCAAATGTGGAATAAATTTGCTATATTCAATATAGTGTGAAATTATTTGTCGCGTTACAGACCCAACACGTGACAATTTGGTGTCAGAAGTGTTCATGAACTTAAACATGCCTCAGTTTAAGATGAATTGTTGAATTCATAAGTATATCGAGTGTTATCCTGCCAAAAAGATAATGGAGAAGATATGCAGCGAATAACTGAAATGCTGGCGAAGGCAGAGGACAATAGGAAAGCCAACAAGGAAGAAATGGAGGCCATTAGAAAGGCCGAAAAGGAAGAAATGGAGGCCAACAGGAAGAAAGACAAAGATGTCATGGCAAAATTAGATGCCAACCAAGAGAAGGCAGAGATCGGACACAAGGAATTGCTGGCCAGATTGGAGGATGACAGACAGGCTGACCGAAGGGAAATGAAGGAAATGAGGAGGAGATGATGGACGTCAACCAAACCAGAACATATTTCAGCTTAAGGAGCTTATGGAAAGAATTGAAAAAACACAAAGGGAACTACAGTCAGTGGAAGTGTCCCTCTGCATGTGGATAAACAAACTCCAGAAAACCTGACAAAAAACTATAATGAAACCCGTGCAGCAACTGACATAGCCAAATGCGAGTTCCAAGCCCGGTTGGATGAGACGAGACAGACGAGGGCCGAGAGGGGAAACACATCAATGGTCGTAGCGGGCACAGCTCAGCCACCGATTTTCAACAGGAATTCAATGTGGAGCATGTTCTGGCTACAATTCGAGACCATAGCGGAACATAACCAATGTTCGGACAGGGAAAAATCAACATACCTGATCACCACTCTGAAGGGCCGGGCGGCAAAAGTGCTACCTGGCATCCGACAAATACAGCTTATGAGGATACCCTTCAGGCACAAGAGGACCGTTTTGGGGACCAACACTTTGCAGCTGCTTACCACTGCCCATTAAGAGCAAGGACATAGAAACCTTGAGAATCCCTGCAAGACTTTACCATGGCCATTGAACTGCTTGCCCGTCATGCCTACCCCAATCTACCTGCAGACCACAAAGAAAGAGAAGCAGGAAAAGCTTTCGCATATGGAATATGAGACGCTGACATAAAGATACAGCTACTAAAAGGAGGGCAGAAGACGGAAAAAAGAGGCCCTCCAACAAGCACTTGAGCTGCAGGTGGTACTGGTAGCAGCCAGACCTCACAAAGATAGCACCAAGACATACTGGAAGCTTCAACTGTCCCCCACCCAACAAAGAGATGCACAACAGTCAAGATGCTGGGACTGTGGAGAGCCGGGGCACTTTGAGAGCAATTGCCACTATGGAAGAGGAACAGGAAATAGAGAGCACAGGAACCGAAAAGACAGACGACCAAGAAATAAGCGAGAATAGCCGGGGAGATCAGAGTGGCGACCTGGTAACAACAGAGAAACAAGCTTGAGAAACTGGCAGGAAACGAGCAAAAGTCGGAGGTGAGGGGTGGGCGCCAGAATATGCACTAAGGCCCCCACACTATGCACTCACCGACATCACAGAAAAAGCCAACACCAGTCTGGTCACCCAGGGATGGGTCGGTGATAAGCCGTGCCAGGTGACAGTGGACACTGGAGCATACATCATGGTAGTAAGACCATATATCACCACCGGATGGCCTGAAAGACAGATTTCACGCTGCAGGCCATGTCTGGAGGATCCCTACCAATCCTGAAAGAAGTTCTGTTGAACCTTACCCTGGGGCGCTGACTGCTTACAATGTGGGTTTTCGTTGCGAACATCACCGATGAGCTCATCTTGGGACTGGACATACTGCGCGCCTATGATGTCTGTGGACATAGGGCATCAAACTCTGTGTCTGGCGGAAGAAGTATCATTATAGAGTCGAGGGGCAGGACCCCGTACTTCCAGCTTAGTAGTGGCAAAGGACCAGGTGATACCCGCACAGAGTGAGGGAATAATGATGGCTAGAATGGAGAATCATCTGGGAGTAGAAAATGGTCTAGCAGAACGAAGCCCGCAGGCCCATCTGCCTGATGGAGTCTACGTAGCCTGGACCCTAGTTCAGGACTCTCAGGAAGTACCAGTGAGGGTCATGAATGCTACCCATAGGGATAAAAAGCTCATGAGAGGACCTCCTCTGGCGAACTGTGAGCCAGTAACACTGGTAACTTTGCCCGATGTGGGGCAGCCACCAGCACCAGGCCTAAAACCGAAATTAGCGGACGTGACCACAGCAGCCAAGCCACACCTAAACACCATAGAATTTCAAGAGTTGGAGGAACTTGTGGCCAAGTACGCGGATATCTTTGTGAGGGACAATGAAGATTATGAAGGACAAACAAAGTATATCACTGCATAGACACGGGAGATGCCAAACCAATTCGACAGCCACCAAGGAGAGTACCCCTGGCAAAACAAGCAGAAGTAA